GCTCGTTACAAGCAGAAGGTACTAGCAACATAGTTATTCAAAGAAGTAATTAAGCAAAAGCCTTGATGAAAGATGTACCCTATGTCCCCGACATGAAGTGCAATCTGCTAAGTGTTAGACACCTGGTCAAAAAGGGGTTCTCAGTGGTTATGAAAGATGGAGCCCTAGAAATTTTTGACATCAAGAATAACTTGGTCTTGAAATCTCATCTGTTGAAGAATAGGACATTTAAGATCGTGATTAGTTCGATTGAGGTACAATGTTTGAAAATAGTTGACAATCATAAGAATAGTTGGTTGTGGCATATGAGGTTTGCTCATCTAAACTTTAGGTCGCTCAATCAATTATCACTCAAGATAAGATAACTGGTATACCAAGTCTTGAGATGCGTCACAAACTTTGTGAAGGTTTTTTATTTGGAAAGCAGTCCAATAAGTCTTTCGTTTCAATTACGCCAATGAGATCATCATGCATACTTGAATTTTTACATTCAGATGTATGTGGTCCTTTTAAAGAGCATATCATTGGTGGAAATATGTATTTTTTTCCCTCATTTTTCTATGAGTATAGTCAAAAGCTCTGAATCTATGTGATCAAACGAAAGGGCAAAGTATTTGAAATCTCTAAGAGATTCAAGATACTTGTCAAAAATCTAGGTGAAAAGAAGATCAAAGTTTTGCAAACACATGGAGGTGGCGAATACACATCCAAGATATTTAAATCATTTTGTGCATAACATGGTATTGATCATGAGATAACTGCTCCTTATACTCCTCAACATAATGGAATAGCGGAAAGACGAAACAAGACCATATTGGACATGGCGAGATGTATTCTGAAGCAGAAAAATTTCTAAAATCCTTATGGGGTGAAGCTGTTTCGATTGCTATTTATATTCTGAATAAGTGCCCTACCAAGAAGCTGAAGGACAAGGTTCTTGAAGAAGTGTGGAGTGGCAAATAACCATCACTAAGTCATATGAAGGTGTTTGGCTCTATTTTCTACAAGCATGTTCCTGATGCAAGAAGAAGGAAGCTTGATGACAAGAGTATACCTATGATTCTGGTATGATATCATAAGACTGAACAAACAAGCTATTCATTCCAATGAACAATAAGATTGTGATGAGTCGGGACATTGTGATTGATGAAAATTATGTCTGGGACTGGAATTCTAGGAATGCAGTTTACAAGCCATTGATGAGTTATGATTTTGACGAAGAAAATAATGATGTCAAAATCAAAGATATTGTCGATATTCTAGTTGAAGTCGAAGTTGTTGCTAACATACCCCATACATTTAAAATATAAGAGCATATGGCTGGAACAAGCCAAATACTTCAAAGAACTAGAGATCGTCCAACAAGACTTCAAGACTATGAAGTGGTTGGTGATGATGAAGTCACAAAAGATGGAGAACTAGTTCATTTTTCTTTACTTGCAGGTGCTAAACCAATTAACTATAGCAAAGCCTTCAAATATTCACTAGAAGTGATCTATGGTTGAAGAGTTAAAAGCAATCGAAAAGAAACAACACATGGGAGTTGGTCGAAATGCCAACACATGCAAAAGCTATCAAAGTGAAGTGGGTTTTCAAGTTAAAGCACAACATTGATGGGTCAATAGCAAGACATAAGGCGAGATTGGTAGCTCGAGGATTTATTCAGAGAGAAGTACTCGACTGCTCTGAAGTATTTGCACCAGTGGCAAGATTGTAAACTGTTCGATTAGTGGTATCCTTGGCATACAATCGAGGTTGGTCGACATTTCTCTTAGATGTGAAATATGCATTTTTGAATAGACCCTTTGATTAGTGGTATCCTTGGCATGCAATCGATGTCACACAAACTCCTGGGCTTTTGATTCAGGAGGAAGCAAGTAAAGTATACAAGTTGCACAAAGCGCTATATGGTCTCAAGCAGGCACCTAAGGCATGAAACAAGAAGATTGACTCATACTTGGTCGAACTGGGATTTGTCAAATGAAAATTTGAGTATGGTGTCTATGTTCAGGTTGTGGCACAAGATATAATAATTATCTGCTTATATGTTGATGACTTGTTAGTAACTGGAAGTAGCTTGGAAAACTTATTGAAGTTCAAAGAGCTGATGAAAAATGAATTTAAAATGTCGGATTTGGTAAAGTTGTCATACTTCCTAGGCATGGAATTTCAAATGTCGAAGCAAGGTATGGTGCTACATCAAAGAAAGTATGTCAAATAAATACTCAAGAGATTTAGAATGGATGATTCGACTCCTGCATCTTCGCCTATCAAACCAAACTTGAAGTTGGAGAACATGGAGAGGAAGACAAAGTTGATACAACTTTGTTCAAACAAATTATCGGATCTCTGAGATATGTGTGCAACATTTGACCTGATATATGTTTCTCAGTCAGATTAGTGAGAAAATATATGAGTGAACTAAGGGTGTCGCATATGAAGACTGCAAGAAGAATCCTGAGATACTTAAAAGGATCGACAAACTATAGAATTTTATTTTAACGAGACTCTAAAAGAAAAGAAGTTATGGTTACTTGTTGTTCATATGTTGATTGGTGTGGAGATAAGGAAGATTTAAGAAACACTACTGGATATTTCTTTCAAGTATTTGGTACCCTAATCCCATAGTGCTCGAGAAAGCAACTTGTGGTGGCATTGTCATCGTGTGAGGATGAATACATAGCGGGATCTTAGGTTGCGTGCCAAGCAATTTGGATCAGATATGTGCTGGAAGAGATCGAGGTCGAAGTGAGGAAACCTCTGGTACTGTAGATCGACAACAAGTCAACCATAAATCTGGAAAAAAATATAGTTTTGCATGGAATAAGCAACCACATCAAAGCTAGATTTCTTTTCCTTAGAGAGAAGGTGAATCGAGGTGAATTTGATGTAAGGAATTTCTCAAGTGAAGCACAATTGGTCGACACTTTTACCAAAGGATTGAAGATCGACATGTTCCTAACTTTGAGAAAGAAATTAGGAAATGTTCAGATCAACAATGATTAGTGTGTGTCAAAAACTTGGATTATAAGGGGTATGTTTAGATATTAGATATAATCCAAGTTGGGTTGTGTGGCCTAAGCCTAAAGCTAATTAGGGTTTATGGTTTGTTACTTATTTTTTTTTTTATATTTGTTGCTTAATAGTAAAGTCACTTAGGTGTATATAAATAGACACTTTGTAAGTCAGTGTTATTATTATTTATTCAATAATATCAATCCTTATTTCATTATTCTCTCTCTTTCTCTCCTCACTAAAAGTTTCTCACGCACTAACAATATGTAATTTATTCATGTCATATTTTATGAAATCAAATGCTAAATCAATATACAAAAGAAACTTACTTTAGAGGTAAACCATCCTCCAAACCTTTTATGGTATCCAAGACTTTTGGACGAGCATTGCTTCTCAATTTTTCCAGAATCTTCCTAATAGAAGAGTGTGACGAGCCGCAATAGTTGCAATAGTCACAATTAATTTAATTTTAGGTCCGTGTTAGTTTTATCGGGCTCCAAGGTGGATTTCAATTGTACTCGTGATGAATAGAATGAGGTGAGTCCGACTTGCATAGAATAAAGTAAGAGGGCTTTTGAGTATTGAATCTGTAAAAAAAAAAGTGAATTAATCTCTCTAACCTTGAAAATTGAGGTATTTATAGATGTAACCCATGAGTCATGTTGTGTATGAAGAATTGATTCAAATATTCAACTACTTAACTAGAACATGGGTTTAGGAGAAACCCGTCTTCTCCTTTAATAGGGAGGAGTAGTTGCAAAGAATTAAAATGTGGTGTTGTAGTTACTTTTCTCACACGTGAGTGGACACATATTCATGAACTTTGACTAAATCGAATGATTCGTCCCATGGGGCATCGGGTCGGGTCTAACGAGTTCGTGTCCTCACCATGTGATGACATCCTTATGCATTCCTTCAACTCTTGTAATATTCTTGAGCTGAGTGAGATATGGGTCGACATTTTTAGAATCCGGACAAATATGAAGCCTAAAAGAAGGTCTTTAAGTAGTGAATATTTAAAAAGTGAATGAATCTCTCTAATAATGGGGATTAGGGTATTTATAGATGTAACCCATGAATCAAGTTGTGGATGAAAGTCCCATTCCAATATCTTATTGCTTGATTAGAACGTGTGATTAAGAAAAACCAGTCTTTCTTGTAATAGGTAAAAACAATTGCATAGAATTGAAAGGTGGTGTTATGGTTACTTTCTCACACATTTGTAGACACATATTAAAACACTTGAGTTGAATTGAGAATGTGCGCCCAAGGCACAATGGGTAAGGTTAGAGAGCTCATGTGCTCACCACGTGATGTCGCCCTTATATGCCCTATCTCCTCTTGCAATATTCCCAAGACGAATATGATATGGGTCAACCTTTTTAGAATCTAGACATGCTAATTTAGTTTATAATCCCTCAAATATGAAACATAGAAGGTCTATATAATAAATAAATAAAAAACATATCGGTTCAACATAAAAAAAAAAAAAATTTAAAAATCGAAAACAATAATTTTTTAAAAAGTGAAAATACTTAAATAAACGATTCATCAAATTACAATTTTTCCATTAATTTTCTTAATCAATACCCAAAACATTCTTGAGTATTTTCTTATTTAATATAAAGAGATGAATGACACCCTACAAAACAAGAAAAATATCTAAGTTTATGTTAGCCGCCATCCAGTCAAACCACACCCTCTGACCCAAAAATATATGCATAAATAATAACTTAAATAAAAAATATACACCTTTTCATTTTCCCTTCATAGAAACATCTTCTCATACTACCTCCTCATTTTCTTCTCCTCCTCCTTCATCACACGCTCCTCCATCTTCTTCTTCTCCATTTTTTCACCTTCAAATTTTCACTTTCTCTCAATCTCAATTTTCTCTCTCTTAATATTCTTCACACACAAAACGAAACACTCTTCATTTTTATTCATCTCAACTTCATCACCACCACACACCTTCTCCATTCTCAATGACCTCTTCTTTCTTCTCCGACCTCCTTAATTCCCCCACCAACAAAGACACCGAAAGATCTCACCATCATCATCGTCATAACAATGTTTTGTTGGATCAAACCGATTCAGGTTTACCCAAATTCAAGTCCACACCCCCTCCATCACTTCCTCTCTCTCCCACACCTCTCTTCTCTCCTTCTTACTTTTCCATCCCTCATGGCTTCTCCCTTTCCGAGCTTCTTGACTCTCCCGTTCTTCTCAACTCTTCTCATGTAAGTCTCTCAAAAAATCATCCATCATAGACTTTTAAGTTGACTTCAAAATTCTCATCATGTTTAGTTTGTTCGGTTTGATTGCATAATATGATATAACTTTGTGTTGTTTTGATGTAGATTTTACCATCTCCAACAACGGGATCATTTGCTAATAATCAAAGCTTAAATTGGAAGAATAATTATGGCGAAAAGCAGCAAAATTTTAAGTCAGAAGATGAAACCTTGTCAGGTTTCTCCTTCCATGCTCAACCTATGCTTCAAACTTCAACAGAAGACACATCTCAAAACGTGTGTAACAAATTTCAGTTCACAAAACTCATTTTTCATACTTCTACATATACATGATAATATGATATGCTCAAGATTTTAAATAAATAACTTTCCTGTTGCGTTCGCGTAAAGGCTTTCGCGATTTCAGTAGTTACATATGTTGTGGTAGTGGTTGTTAAGTTCGCGTAAAGGCTTTTGTGATTTCAGTAGTTACAGATGTTGTGATAGTGGTTGTTGCGTTTGCATAAACACTTTCGTGATTTCAGTAGTTACAGATGTTGTGATAGTGGCTGGTGATTTATATAACCTCAGTTTCTTTTTTATCATAAAAATGGTGAATAATTGTATTAGTATCTGACACTTTTCAAAACCGTTTTGTCAACTGTGTTTTTAGAACCTTGACAAAAATTAGAGGCATGTTTCTAACTTTTTGTCTACAAATTATAGGGATGGAGTTTTCGAGAAACAACAAAACAAGATGGCTTAATATCTTCTGGAATGAATATGAGTATGGTGAAAACAGAAAACTCTTCATCAATTCATAGTGGACAAAATAATCACAAGAGAGATTATAGCAATTATCAAACTCAGCCACAGCAACAGGTTCAGACACTTAGTAGAAGATCAGATGATGGATACAATTGGAGAAAGTATGGACAAAAACAAGTGAAAGGAAGCGAAAATCCAAGAAGTTACTATAAATGCACATACCAAAATTGTCCAACAAAGAAAAAAGTTGAAAGAGCTTTAGATGGACAAATAACTGAAATTGTTTATAAAGGTAATCATAATCATCCTAAGCCTGTGGCTAATAAGAGGAACATGAATTCAATGTCTTCCTCTTCGTCGTCGCTTGCGAATCCTCCTTCAAATCAATTTGGAAATGACATGCAAATGGTGTTGGTTGCTACGCCGGAGAATTCTTCGATATCGGTTGGAGATGATGATTTTGAGCAGAGTTCTCATAAATCGGGTGGAGATCATGAGTATGGTGACGATGATCAACCCGATACTAAAAAATGGTAAGTTTGTATTCTCTTTTTTATTTATATAATTTCGGTTAATTGTGTCTACTTCTGTATCTGCAAAATCGTTGTAAAGCTCATATAATTATTTGAATGAATTAAGGTTTTAGATTTTTTTTATTGATGAAATCGAATGAATCAGAGTGGTATGAAATAGAATGAAGTCGTATTTTATTGTTTGAATCATTTAAAATTGATTTCATATTTAATTTTGAATGTCATGAACATTGCAGGAGAATTGAAGGTGAAAATGAAGGGATATCATCAGGAATTGGAAATGGAACTGTGAGACAACCTAGAGTTGTGGTTCAGACAACAAGTGACATTGATATTCTAATTGATGGGTACAGATGGAGAAAATATGGACAAAAAGTAGTAAAGGGAAACCCAAATCCAAGGTAGGAAAAAAAAACACCCTTAATTTCTTCCTTTGACCTTTTCTTTTTGGACATAAATGTCCAACTTTATACCTGTTATTGTTCTTTAATATTCTCATTGGTCAAAATTGGCAACCATGCATGCATGAGACAAGACTCAAATATTCTATGCCATGTCATAGTCAATGTCTAACACTCAAAAGTTTTATTTTTTTGCATAAAATTTTTTGCAATTTCTTTTGGTATAAATGTAGTGATACTGATTACAATCATCACAGTATAAATAATATAGTCGATATTCGTACCTATTGATATCATTTTGTCGCAGTTGTTTTTGCAATCGTAGACCCTTTTTTAAAAGTTGGATCTTACTTTATGAAATTAATTTATATTGTGACTAACTAAATTAATACATGATATAGGAGTTATTACAAGTGCACAAACCCTGGGTGTCAAGTAAGAAAACATGTGGAAAGAGCATCACAAGACCTAAGATCAGTGTTAACAACCTATGAAGGAAAACACAACCATGATGTTCCTGCACCACGTGGAAGTGGAAACCACTCTATCAACAAACCAATACCTAATATACCAACTATGAACAACACCATGAGTGTTAACAATGGATTCTTCAACCATGAGATGCTGCAGAACAATGGATTTCCAATGGATTCTTATGTGAATATGAATCAGCAACGTGTCGATAATATTGTTAGAGGTAGAGCTAAGGAGGAGCCTGTAGTAGAAGATGACTCGTTTTTTGACTCTTTGCTATCTTGAAAGGAATATTCCTTTTTTTGCATTGTTTTGGAGGGCTGGTTAAGTAGGATTTTATACATACATGTATACGTAAATATACCTAAGACTAATAAAATTGAGTTCATTCAATTTATTCTATTTGTAATTTATTGTATATTTTCACACCTATAGGATTGGTGTATATAGTATAGATTTAACAATTGTTGTAAGTTAATTACGATGATAAATATATATGTTTGTAACTTTATTATCATCATTATCATTATATAGAACTTTGAATCAATTTTTTTATTTTAATTTATTACTATATCTCTATTCCTTTATATAATAGACATCATCTTTTTTAATTCATTGAATAGTCAATATATTTGGTCGGTTTATAAAAAAATTACAAAAATACGATAATATTGAAGTAATAATAAAGTTGTCAAGCCACAAACACCAAGTATTCAAATACCAAATTCAACCCTATTCTTATGTAGTTAAAGCGATCGAAAATGAATTTGAGTTTGAAACATAAAATTTTAACTGATGAAACTATAATAAAAAATAGACTTTAGAACATGTGATTCTTGTCTAAAGAAACTCTTGTGAACCTCTTCTTCTATTACGGAAATTAATATTATAGAAAATAATGAAATTTGGACAATAGCTATTTTTGTCAGCTTGTTGTCTCAGAACAAATAATTTGTCCACTTTTGTCGGTCCAAATTATTTATTGAGATTGATTTCGCGCAACTATAAAAATGAGACTTTCTCAACTGCATTCAAAACACTTTTGTCATCTCGTAAGTAACTGTTTAAAATTCTGTCTTCAGGTACTAAAACGTACCCTTTTCATGTACGATCGGTACCTTATTCATATTTACTTTCATAAATGACATTTGTGATAAAAATTCAGAACTCTAGAATAACTTTTAAATATATTTTTCATAATAAAATGTAAGAGAATTCTCTAGAGGTTTGTCATGAGACAATCCTCATGACGATTAGTCCTTCGAAAACTAATCATACATATTAGCGGTAAAATGAATAAAACATACACAGAAATTGCCTACATGATCAAGAAAATAATAACAATAAAAATAAAAATTTGGATTAAAGAAAGAAAAACTTGAATTAGTTTCAGTGTGTTGGTGCACAAGGTTGAAGATGAAGAAGATGATGGAAGAGAAAGAGAGACAAAAACTCTAACTAACTTTTGAATGCAAATTAGAAAATTGATTACACTAAAAAATTTGTTACAACATAAACTTATATATTATTAGAGCCCTTGAAATGAAATTCAAGTTAAACCTAAATGCAACTAATATGAATTTGGATTACACCCTAATACCATCCCTTAATCCACATTCAAGACTAAAACCAATTACACCAATTCCATCTCTCAAATGAATAAATCGTTTAGTCTTAATTGTTTTGGTTAGTACATCTGTTAGTTGCTTTTAAGTGCTACAGTGAACAACTTCAAGCACCCCCACTCTGAACCTAGTTGCGCAGAAAATGGAACTTAGTATCAATGCGCTTGCTTCTTCCATGCAGCATTGGATTCTTGGCAAGGCTTATAACTGATTTGTTGTCAATCATCAACTTCACAAGCTTGCTCACATTGTTTTTTAGATCCTGCAACAAGTTCAGAAACCAAACAGTTTGACAAGAAAACAAAGCACATGTAATGTACTGAACTTCATAGGTTGACAATGCAACCATTGGTTTCTTTTTTGAGCACCAAGAAATATGACCTCCCATATACTTGAAGAAATATCCAGAAGTACTTCTTCTATCAACTCTATCTCCACAATAGTCTGAGTTTGAATAACACATCATCTATGAATCAGATTTAGCATCAGAGGAGAACAAAACTTCATACTTTAGAGTCCTCTTAATATACCTAAATATCCTGACAGCAACTTGATAATGTGACCACTTTGTTTTGTTCATAAACCTACTCATCATTCCAACAACATATCAAATGTCAGGTCTAGTATTACAGAGATATCTCAATGAGCCTACCAACGGCTTAAAAGTTGCAGCATCTACATCATCAAGTTCAACATCATAATCCAACTTGTGATTTGTTTCAACATTAGTGATTGCAGACTTGCAATTTATTAAGCTTAAGGGTATTTATACAATTATACGATGAAGTATAATTATAAAAAAAAATAAAAACTAAAAAACTCTCATGTGTAATCGGTTGACATATTATGTCAACCGGTTACACTTCACTATTGAATAAAATTTTAATTAAAAATATACAAATATAATCCATTGATATATTATGTCAAACAATTACACTTTATTACTGTAAGTTTCTGTTTAACAAATTAAAAGAATATAATCGGTGCAACCGATTGCATTCAGGTAAATTAGTTTTTTACCTTAGAAAAAAGAATGAAATGAGATTAAGGGAGTGAATATTGTCATTGGGGATATTAAATTTTTGTTGTGGGAAAAGTTTCTTTCGAATTTTTAGAGAAAATGTGTCGAGTGCTTTGGAAGAATATTGAAATACTAATCATTGTCTTGTATCCTAAGGGGCCAAACTCTGTAATTGCTTGGATAGACTATCCCTTAAACTCTATACTCCTAATACAAATTATTTAATTATTAAAAAAAAAGTCCTTAGATGTTCTCGTAGTTTTTATGAGTTGTTACAAAAGATAAAAACTTGAAAAGAAAAACAAAATCCTTAGATGTTCTCGTAGAAAACTCTAATAATTTTTTAAACAAAGTTTTGTATTTATATTAAACTATCTAACCGACAAAGTAATTAAATAAAATAACTTTTTAATCGAAAATGAAAATGGAAAAATCGTGTTGAGAAGGTAGTTTTTGTGATTGGAGCTCATTGCATATGTCACTTCACTTATTTTTTAATATATACACAATACTTATACGATTAAAAAAATATCAAAGATGGTGAGATAATGATAGATTACTTGGTGGGCAAGGCAGTGAAAGTCAACTTTGATTTTTTTTGACAAGATTTATATATTCTTGTTATTTGACTAAACGACAAAAACATTGTTAATCCAATAGTAATTAAATTTTATTTATTTTATGCTCTAGATTAAGATATTCAATTGAGATAAGATAAGTAGCATCTTTATTTATTGGAATCTATAATCAATCGGCTATAGTATATCGCTATCAAAGTGATGGCTAGATAGATGAAGCTACTATATCCGTAAGAGAGGGTCCCACGTCTAGATTCATTGTACAGTGTGAATGCTGAGGTTGTGTTCCTACTATGACCCTATGATCTGTAACTCTTGCCGTGCAAGTTTCTCTATATTAGCCAATTATATACCCTACTTTGTTGCTTTTTATTTATCACAATTTCTTAACAAAAAAAATATTCGTGTGTTTGTATGTATAAATTTTTTTAATATAGATGTTTAAAATAAAATAGATAATGTTCTGATAATAATTGTAATAGTGGTTTGTATTATTATTGAGTAATATTTAATTTAATATAATATAAAAAGTTTTTAAATATATATGTTAATGTATAATGTATTACTTAATTATAAAATAAATAATTAATATATAAATTCACTTGTATTAAATAATCATATAAAAAAGATTTATGAGATGAAAAAAAACCGCGTTTGAAAATAAAAATGTGTCTCTCAAATAAAAATAAATGTTAATTAAAATAAAATAGATATTGTTCTAATAATAATCCATAAAATGGAAATCTTTTTGTGTGCACCGTTCATTGAGTGTTATCCAATTTGATTAAGTATAAAATGTATTTAGATACATATGTTTATTTCAATTGAGTTTCTCAATTTAAAATGAACAATGAATATTTTTTTATAAATAATTATTATAAAATAATTATTTTTTTTATTTTAGATAAATTTTGTGTTTTAAAAATTCAATATTTTTCTATGTTCTTCTTCATTGAATTAAAAAAAGGTTCAAATTTTGTAATTTATACTTAAACGAGGGACTAAAATTGTGGTTTTTAAAATGGGAGATCAACCCCCCTTGTATTACAAGAGATTTTCACTATAACAAAAATATGATTACAATCGCTTATGCACTTAAGCATAAGAATTTTATTTGCTCAGACCTTCAGCCTTAGACTTCCTGCCAAAACCCCTCAGGTCCAAGAATTCTGCTTAGGTTCCACAAACCCAAGACTTCCTCCTTGCTTAAACCCTGCAGGCTCAAGACTTCTGCTCAGACCCTCGGTCAAAGACTTCCCTGCTTAGATTCCACGAATCCAAGACTTCTGCTTAAGCCCCTTAGGCCCAAGACTTCCTTACTTAAGTTCCACGAACTCAAGACTTCCTTGCTCAGATTCCACGGACCCCAAGACTTCTGCGCATACTCTCAAGCACAAGACTTATTCTCAGACTCACAGTCTAAGAATTTCTCCTTAATTAACAACTGATCAAGACTTTTAATGCTCTAACACATAACATGATACTTACTCAGCTCAAGCTTCTTAACAAGAGATTTTGGTGCTCAAACACATAGCAAGACACTTTATCTAAACTACTAAACAACATGTTTAGCAGAATAGAGAACAAGGTGTACTTGATATAAAATCAGAGGTACATGGTAATCACCATAACAAAGACCTTAAACACTTAAGATTTCTTAGATATTCAATCTTTAAGAAATCTTAAGGCTTAGTATAATTTACAACATATAACAGAATTTCTACATACTCGATTGTGTTTCTTATTGTTGATCCTGTTATTCCTCCATCCAGACAGAAGTGTATAACACTTCTATCCTTCTTGAATTTCCTTCTCTATTTTCTCTTTGTTCCTTGTTAAAAACTTCAGTTTGAACCTTTAGCAGCTTATATAGCAGTTGTAGAAGACTAGTCGTTGGAAGAGATAACTTGAACAAGTGTCTTTGTTTTTCCATATTACAAGAGACATTGAAGATAGATACACCAAAAGATCTTAATCCATTGTGTAACATGTTTAACCATTGTGTCTTAATGTAATCTTGGACTATAAATCTGTTGAGAGTAGATATTCGTAAAACATGTC